TTCATTGTGTTGATATAGTGGACGACAGTCAATTGAATGGAGATGGACAATAGCAGGGCAGTCAAGCCAAGCCACTGATTGTGCATAGGCACACTGCGTGAAGCAGTTCACCGTATAGAAGCCATAAGCATCACACACCAAGCAGATTTTCAGGTCAAAATCACTGCAAACCAGGTCTAGAAATCGAGCCCGGAATGATCAGGAAGAGGCACTGGACGTCAATTTCCCCTTAGTTAATCGAAGTAGGCCCGTAGCTGCTGGATAAACGAATATAGAGCAATATATAGCGGAGAGACAGTGCTGCCAGACTGGTGCTCTGTCAACTATAACAACAAAAAAGGAAGGGAAAAAAAGACAAAAAAGAAAAGAAAAAAGGCGCGAAGACATAGTGGTGTAAATTTAATGGGTTGGGGGGGGGGGGCAAAATGTCCCTGCCCCCTCTAAAACTGATAAATCGAGAATGTGTTGAGAAATACAGGCATTTTTTGGCAACATTTTTTTTGCCCCCCCTCTAGAAAAAAGCCTGGCGACGCCCATGCGTGGCGTCATATAGTGAACACTTTTTTTCACTTGTGCTTAAATTGTTTTCCCCTCATCTTCCAAACCATGTTGGCCTAGTAATTTGTTACGAGCCTTTCACAACCATAAAGGGATAAAACTGGTCTCACACTTTTTGAGGAGGTCATGATGAACTACTTGTGCCTTAGCCCTCCTATCCTGTACTTTATACAAGATAGGGGACAATACGTGTGTGACTAGCAAGGGCCACTTCCAAACTGCCTGTAGTTTTTGAGAAAGGCCAACTTTCGGGGCTTTATTCAGTTTGTAAATGATATCCCCTTCCTCGAATGATGTTTTATTTTCTCGATAGTCATAGTACTTCTTTTGTTGGTTTTGTGCTACCCCAATATTGTCACGTGCTATTGTGTGGACCCGCACCATTCTCTCTTTAACCCTAAAGGGGCCGGGTTATTTTGACCATCTCTCAGCCGGGGGGGGGGCGGATTCCGCCCCCCCCTAAGATCTCGGCCATCGAGTGACGAAAAATTTTGAAACTCAGCACATGCATAGAGCAACTCTTCCTAAACATGCCCAAGAAATTTCATGACTATAGGTCAAAGGGTTTTGGAATTATGGCTAATTAATTATTCATATGTATGAATGGCAATTCTGCTCGGTGTACACGACGTATATGCGAAAATTCAGTTTTCACGGCGCGTAGCGCCGGAAAATTTTTCGCTACGGGCCAACCCGTGGTCCGATTTTTATGTTTTTGGTATCAAAAGATGCGCAAAGCTCGAGGCTAAAAAGTCATAACAGCTCGGGTCGCGAAAAAATTTTTTTTAGAAGCTATCGCGGAAAATGTTGAGGGGGGGGGCGGATTCCGCCCCCCCCCCCGGCCCCTTTAGGGTTAAGGTTTCTTACATATTGGTGTGGCTGCTCGTTAGGGACATCATTTCCTTTGAAATCAAACACTAGATCCATAGGTTGCCGGATTTCCCTCCCCAGCATCATTAAATTAGGGGTCAGAACAGTACTACGGTTTGGAAGAGAACGAATAGTCCCCGTGAGAATAGGTAGATCCTCATCCCATTCGGTTACCTTCCCCTTTAAATGGCATCTGATAAGTTGTAATAGAGTCCTATTGTACCTTTCCACCTGACCGTTCGAGCAGGGACGATATGGAGTTGTTCGTGTTTTAGCAATCTCCAATAACTCACAAACTTCTGTAAACAATGAGCTTGTGAAATTAGTGCCTTGGTCAGTATGGATTTGTAAGGGGCATCCGAACCTCGATATGAAATTATCTATTGTTGCCCTAGCAACACGTTTCGCGGTTTGGTCAGCCAAGGGATAGGCTTCAATCCACTTAGTAAATTGGCAGATTAGCATCAATATGTATTTATTGCCCGACCTAGATGGGGTAAAGGGACCTAGTATATCCAGGTGTGTGCGTTCAACTGGTGCCCCAGCATGGAAATTTGTCAAAGGTGCCCTACGCTTGCGTGATGGTTTTTTGTGTGTGTTACATTCTTGGCAGGCTTTTACATACAGACAAACATCTTCCTTCATGTTATACCAGAAGGATGTCTGCCTTACTTTCTGGAGGGTTCTTGTTATGCCTGGGTGCCCAGCAATTTTACAGTCATGACACAAATTTAAAATTTCACGTTTCAGAGTGTGGGGGGTCAGGAACAGCAGTTTGGTAGAGTGTCCCTCATCCCATTTGTAATAAAGAACACTGTCTTTAACACACAAAAGTGAGGCATTCGACCAAAAATACTTCACGCTTGGTGAGCAACTTTGAAGTTCATTTTGCTGTGGGCAAATTGAATTTTCTTTCCATTTTAGTAATTTCCCTATGTCCTGATCTTTATGCTGTAGCTCGCGTAATTGCTGTGTTGAGTATTTAGTAAACAACGAGACGTTTTCGTCAACCAACAGACATCAGTTTGAGTCAGTCTTCTCATTTACACATGAATTTTTAGTGACAGCGTTAGCGACGTGGCCGATCGGTCTTTGGGGGCTAGTTGCTGGAGTTACATTAGCGTTGATATTTGAGATTTCTCGCACTGCAAGAGAAATGACATCATCGACGTCATCTTCAAATCGTTTTCACTGTTTATGAACACGCGTACAGTATTGACAACCACCACAGGGGAGGGTGTCTACGTTACAACCCGCATAATAACAGTCGCAGAATGGAGTTGTGTTTGGGATACGTGAAAGAGAGTTGGGGTCAATGTGTTTGACCCCTTTTCTGTGAAGTATTATCATGTCATACTGGCTTAGTTCCTCTACCCATCTTGCTAACATACCAGAAATCAGCTTAAATCTTGTTAACCAAGCCAAACTGCTGTGGTCCGTTCTTATGTAAAATTGGCGCCCCAGCAAGTAATGGCGGAATTGGCGTGTAAAACGTACAACTGCAGGTAGTTCTTTTCTAGTTGTGCAATACTTTCTTTGCGCCGGGGTAAGTACGTAACTACCATAGCCTATCACCTTCTCAACACCGTCTTGCATTTGAAGCAGTTCTGCTCCAATTGCACCATCTGAGGCATCAGTATCTAACACAAAAACGTCATTACTATCATTTCTTGGGAATGCTAGCAGAGGGCTAGTAGTGAGCTTGTGTTTTAATGCTTGAAAAGATGTCTCGTGTTCATCTGTCCAAACAAATTGTACATTTGTCTTGGTAAGTTCGTATAAGGGACAAGCTAGTTTGGCAAAGTCTTTTACATGGGCCCTATGGTAGTTCATAAAGCCAAGGAACCTCTCTATTTCCTTGCTAGACACCTGTCTGGGCCAATCTTGTACAGCGGATACACTATCTGAGTTAGGCGATATACCATCCCTACTGACTAGCTTTCCTAGAAAAATTACTTACGTTTGGAGTAGATGGCACTTTTTTGATGTCAACTTGAGATTGTGTATGCGGAATTTCTCTAAAACTGTCACCAAATTTTGAATTGAGTTCTCAAAACTTGTTCCCAAAATAATAATGTCATCTAGGTATGCTAGAACTTCAGTCTACTCTAATCCCCTGAGTATTAGGGTCATTGCCCTTTGGAAGGTAGCTGGTGCGTTACATAACCCGAAGGGCATACGTACATATTCGAAAAGACCATACTTGGTAATAAAAGCCGTTTTGCTCCTATCTTCCTCAGACAGTTCAATCTGGTAATAGCCACTACTCATGTCTAGTAAGCTGAAAAACATTGTCCCCTCTAATACATCTAGACACTCTTCTATGTTTGGTAAAGGGAAAGCATCTTTTTTGGTCACGTTATTCAGGGCCCTATAATCGATACAATATCGAACTTTACCGTCTTTCTTTCTGACTAAAACGGCCCATGCTGATGAAGAGGGTTGTATAACAACTATTTTAAGCAAATCATCTAAATGTGTTCTTTCTTCTTTTTCAAAACCAAGTGGGGTTCTTTTTCAAAACCAACTTCGGTTCTACCGGTATGTATCAGGTGCTTTATGGCTGAGAATTTCCCTAGGGAGAATGTCATTTTGTCATTTTGGGAGAATACGTCTGCATACTCCGTACAAGGGCGGATCCAGAACACAATTGGGGAGGGGGCAAAAAAAAATTTTGGTCCCCCCAAAAAGTGGGTCAACAAAATTTCGGCGTGGGGTTCGGGCCCGCTTAAGGGCCCCGAAATTTTTTTGGATTCTAGATGCTCTGTGGTGCGATCTGAGGCAATTTCTGACCACTTTAACCAATGTTTTTTGAAAAAAAGATGGTGGTGTACTCATTGCCTGCCTTTATTGCGATGTCACATAAAAAAAAAAAAAATGGTTTCGTTTGGGGGGGGGGGGGGGCCATGGCCCCCTCCCTGGATCCGCCCTTGACTCCGTAAGTGTCTTTGCTAAAACTTCAGATTCTTCAGAGGTTAGGTTTGTATTTGAACATTTCCACAATTCTTCGACATGCTCTGGAATGGCATTGACCTGTCTAATAGCATTCTCATTATACGCAGCCAATGAACATCAGTCGGGTACATGAGTAGGTGTAGGTGTTTCCGATTCTACCATTATATCTGTCACTTCCTCTGCTCTACCAATAAAATGACCCCTTTCTAATCGAATATACTGGTTACTGTCATTTCGTAAGGAGATGGGACACTCCAGTGATAAGTTATGGGTGTTGTTCCCTAAAGTAATAACGTATACGGGATAAGAAGGCCTCTGTGGTCTTTTTCTGGTGTATGAATGATATAGGATTTGTCAGAATTCTCATCAAACTGACCAGTTGTCTGAATGATTGAATTTGGGGGCACTACTGTTTTACAAATTTCACGAGAACAAAGCCTGTTTCGGCCGGTTGCCGAAACAGCCAATTAATATATATGAATCTAGCTCTAATAGTTGGGGAAATGGTATTATGTGTTTAAATCTCTGTGTCTCCTAGGGGCTGGATCAAATTCAGATCTTTTTGCAAATCTGACATTTCAAACAACAGTTTAACATGAAACCAATCAGGCGTTTACCTGGACTTGACGTCATGACAAGCTTCTCCATTGCATTTGCCTCAAACAATGATAATCCTACAGGAAAGGTGAAAAGCTGAAAAATACAAAAATATACCAAACATCAAAATTTGATTTTACCCATGTACGTGTATCCAGCAGAATGACATTTCACCGCCTCAAAAAAAGGAAGCAGGTGGGCCATTGTTTTTTTAGGTGGTTTTCACGGAATAGACGGAGCAACAGCAACACATTAATCGGTTCTTAAATCAATATTGAAAATAATAAAAACGGTTAGATGGTTTTAGCTGAAACAAAATAATTGCAGTGCTATGCTGCCACTCAAAGCTTCAAAATAGGAGAATATACATTAATTTTCTCTTCTTAAAAAAGTTTGCAAAAAGAAGGAGGGTCCTTCAATTTGATGAGACTTTTGACATGTTATAGACAATAATTGTATAATCGGTCTGTGATGTATAGAGGTGCTCATATAACTGGTTTTGTTAGTTGAAAATAAACGAGCAAACGAAATTGAACAAACTGAAGTCATGTAAATGACATTCTTCTTGTGTAGGTAAAAACTGTGCAGGTAAAAATGTCCTACAATAAAAATAAATAAATGAAAAAAATTAGATTTTATTAAATAAATCACTATTTCTATTTCTTTTGGAGATTACTAAAAGCACCTTGTGCCTGGAATATAAAAAATACCAAAACCGTATTTGCAGTTATTGCTGTCTTTATTTTTATGAGTCATTTTTATTATAAATGTCTAATAAAAAAAACAACAACTTAGTTGATAAAATCAACTTAGGATTGACTTAGTTTTTATTATTTTATAGCACATATTGTAACTCTGAACTGTTTACAATTTTGTGTTCATATATGCTGGAAAGACCAAGAAAAAAATGTCGTTCTTGTAGTCTGGCTCCCTGACCCCACGTCAGATGAAGTGGAGCAATTTATAGACATCGGGAACTGTAAGGTCAGGGAACCAGTCTAGCCGGCTTGTACCCATTTCTAGGTGTGTAGCTGATTGCAAACAAAATAAGGACTAACTAAATTTGGTAGATTGGGGGCAGTATTTGAAAATAAACCAGTTGTTTTTCTAATGATGGACAGTCGACCATCATTGGATATTGTGACAAAATGCCACTCTTCTTGAAAATAACAGCAAACCAGGTGCCATGATTTTACAGGGTGCTAGAAACTATATTATTCACTAACAGTCAAGCAAAGTATTTCATAATTTTGTAGTTTTGTAAACGTTGTATGTTGCCTTTGAGCAGCGTCAAAAAGTAAACTTAGTAGCATTTATCAAATTCTCTTTTCTTTCACTAATTTTTTTTTAATTTCAATGTTAGGAGCAAAACATCAAATCCTTTGATCATTTTTGATACATTTCATTTTAAAAAATTTAATAAAATAATTTCAAAGATTCAAATGTTTATTCTCTTCCCAATATTAACAAAAAATTAGGTTTTTTTAATAACCAGTTTTTAAAATCCACAACACATGTGGAATGTAAACTATAAATATTTGAAAATCTCAATTTTATCTCAGTGCTACAATGTAATTGCCGCCCCTGCTTCTTCTACATGTAGCAAGTACTTACCCACAGTGCATATCATTTTTCCCTTGAGGGCGCTAGCCATCCACTAAAGTTGATTTCCCATAGTTCCTTGTGGCCCGCCCGCCATTTTACACATACTCTTGAATGTAAAAGCATGTAAGACAACACATACCCGAGAGTGGGCATGCGGACGGGCGCTCTATGGGTAGTACTCATTAGTAGAATCACACATCGGGGGGGGGGGGGGGGGGGGGGGGGGGGTGGATTCTACCATGCTCATCTTACCCGCACAGCCTTACTGCATACATATGCAGAGTATCCTATTATAGGAAGGTGGGTTCCAGTGAATGACATGAGAGTAGAAGGTGGAATGCAAGGAAGCGTGAGCTCTAAGCCAACAAGACCAAACCCACCAAAGAAAAACCAGAAAAATTGGTGACTCACTGTAGCGAGGTAGGCCGTCACTGAACGGTCCTACACGGCTTCAGTGAAGGAGGAACCAGATCTGGTTGCTCCACTGGAACAGTAGATAGGGCTGCAAGACCAGTTCTGCTGTCGGCCTGCAAGCACATCTCTGAAGTAGCCTGAGGTGAAGGTGTTGGGAGAGACTTTCATCATGCCGCTTGCATGATGTCTGTGAGAGGCACCCCTTTGAAGACGGCCCAAGAGGTCGACACACTGCAAACCCCAAAATAACCAGGGTGAACGGCCATAGTTATGGAGCAGTAGTTCTTGGTAGTACATGCAAACAATAAGAACAGACTAGAAGAGGTGGAGAAGAAAGTCGCCAACTTCGATTACAGTTTCAGTGAAGGGATCCATCGAAAGCCATGATCACCATTTATAGAAATGTCACTTTTTTAAACAGTGTGGGTTATTGGCGCTAGCTACGGGCTGCGATGGCAGCAGCCTATTGAGCAAGTCCAGCATATTGGAAGGAACGCTAGACAATGGCCAGCACATCACATGAAGACTCTGGGTGAAGCAGACCCGACCAAGACTTTCAAAGAAGGTCTGGCCAATGTGGGGGGAGTGTACTGATCTTCTTTTGCTAAAAAATTGACATGCAGACTGTCCAACAGTGAGAGTGACTGAGGTTGGAAGGGTCCAGTCTATGGGGCAAACCCAGCCATGGGAGAGTGCATGGGCAGTGGTGTTGTCTGTACTCGCCAGATGGACTTAAATGCAAGTTGGTCAACTTGTACGCCTGCAAACTTGTATGCCTGCCAAATCATACATGTGCCAACTCATACCGAATGCCACCTTGTCACACATTATTCTTCTCGGGTCACTACACTACACCCATCCAGGTGCAGGACGCAGGATCTAGCCCGGGGTTGAACCCTTCCACATCTCCAGCAGTGGCGACTTTGGGCGGCTTTAGCCCCACCCCCCAAATCTTGTCTAGCCACCCCCCCCCCCAAAAAAAATCTATTAAAAAAAAATTGCACTAGACTGTAAGAATGTGACATACATGCGAACAGTCTCCAAACAGTCGTGAGAAGGGTGCATTTGTACACTTTTAGTCAATATAGTGTGCCTAATTGTAGGATATTATCAGCGCTCCCCATAGAAAATATGGCACGAGCCCCCCCCCCCCCCCCATTGATTTTCGGAGGCTTAAGTGTCCAGAGAATATAACTGGTCTACATTTCAGCACGCCTCCCTAAAAAAACCTGGATTAACCCTGCTAGGGCCCCCCCCCCCCCAAATATTGGCTCTAGAAACCGCGCCTGATCTTCAGGAGTACAGGGTTCTGGCAGGTGGGGGCAGACCAGCAGGTGTCCCATTGTATGTTCCTCCCCACAGTCGCACACTGTTTGTCCGTCCTCATTGTATCCCCATTTCTCCCCATCGTCCAGTTCCTGTCCTGAGGCGATATAGACATACCAGATGGGCCATGCCTTGCTCGAACCTGACGGTAGAGATTCCTTGGGGCTGAAGGAAAGCTTGTGTGGCATTGCCTGAAGATGATTGGACCATCATTTAGTGGCCAGTTACATGTATTTTTGGAATTCAAAAAAAAAAGAGCATATTGTCGGGTGCCTGGAAGAAAGTTGTAAGGGCAAAAAATGGGTAAAAAGGTCAGATTCAGGTTTTTGGGAAGATTGATAGAGCATGGAAATATTGTCTCAAGGGGTAACATCAATCCGACGTGAGTAACAGTAAACAGAAGATGGAAGGTGGTTTTTCATTATTTGCGCCTGGCAAAAGGTCGTAAGCTTGAAATTGTAATGTAACAAAAAATGGTCCAAGTAATAGGTACACAAAGCCAAGTTTGTTACAAATGTGGGAGAGGGATGCAGTCCAGACCGGATGACCGGAGTCAGCAGCAAGTTTGTCATGCGCAACATCTGTGACAGTAGACATGGTGAGATACTAGGTTGTCTTGTCTGAAAGAAGGTGAAGTTGAGACACAGGCGACAAGGACGATGACAATGGATCTATCAAACACTAAAAAGATCTGCTGAGAACAAACCCTATCAAAGGGAACCACTATGGTGGTATCAGGGGGTGGCCAGTGAGTCCAAAGCCGCTAGGCACTTGAACGATCTCAGCTCTTTAGTAGGTATCAGGGTCTCTGATTCAGGGAACCCCAGCACATGTGGTGCAAGATATCAGACCTACCGGGGGTATCCACCGTTTCTTCTTTTTTTTCTGAGGGGTAGAGTCTGCATTAGATTTTGGAGGAGACCTGGAAGCAGCCGGGAACAGAGGTAACAGAGCCACTAAGAGAGACCAAGGGCTGAGGGAAACAAAGTTGAATCATCGTCTGCGCAGGTGGGACCAGGATACCGGTACCTGGGCCACTGCAGTTGGAGATTGTGGATGTAACCGACAAGGCCGGTGGAGGTGTGGGAGGTGTGGCAGACTGGGTGGTACCTGGGTGAACCTTTGAGGTGTTCCTAGGCTTAGGTGTCGCCCAGGATTTCTTCTTTGATTGACCGGAGGACTGTGTAAGGAACTGGATGACATGACTTAAAACTGGGCGAGAACGGCCAGTAGGATAATGGTAAAATAGATCGGGCCACCATGCAGTAGAGAGACGGATGGAACAATAGTGGAGCAGCCGGTGAAATAGTGGAACAGCAGTAAAAAAAGTTGGGTAAAGCGATAGGCTAACAGACGAGGTAGCACTCTTATGCTGGGGGAATTTGCCTCAAGCACCACACCATGTAACGTTGAAATAGTGATAAAACCCATGACATACCAAAGTTCATTTCTATGGCCAAGTCACCTGATATTCAGTGCAGGTGAGAGATTTGCTATTTTGTTGGTGGAGTCTCATGCTGATGGGTCGGTCACTGTAGATCGCGTTAAATTGGTACAGCATGTGCTGCTATACAAATATGGAATGCTTCAAGTGGAGTAGTAAAACTAGCCTCCCGAGGTGATCCAAGGACATTCTATTTTTCCGTGGCGAAGCCGAAGGAAAATAGAATGCTCCATGGATCACTGAGGGAGGCTAGTTTTACTTCGCCATAAGAAGTGTTTTATAACACTTCACCACAGATTCTGCTTGAATTTAATATTTTAAACTATTTAAATCTGAACACGATTAAAAATGTATTTCTTTCTTCCAAACCACCCCTTTACAAAATGTTTGACCCCAACTCTGTGGCGCACTCTCTTGGGAACAAAATGTGCTACGCATAATGCTCAACACACACACCGGCATGCATTTGTACACAAACATTGTGCCATGGTTAAAGTACTTTGGTTGCTAATGGTATAGAACTTTGGTTGTGAGAGGTATACATGTAGTACTTTTGGCCGTGCACTGAAAGATAGCATAAATAGAAAGTACCATGTGACTCGCTTTCGGCCAATCAAAACACAGAATCAGTGAGTGAGGTGTCATAACACTTGCTATCTGAGCAGAAGTCACACACCAAACTGGCCAGGTAAATAGTAGCATAGGGAGTGAGTAACTTGCAGTGTGTGCAATATTTCTCTCTGTACACTTCGGCGTGAGCTACTTGCAGCCTGTGCGAAGACTCGCAGTAACGGCCAGGTAAGGTGTAGCGTGGGTGTGAGCAACTTGCAGTCAATGTGAAGTCAGGCATTGTTTGGTTCAGCGCGAGCCACTTGCTACTCGAGCGAAGTCAATAGTTAAAGTAACCTCACTCAGCTGGGGCTGTAAATACAGACAACAGACCAAATTTTCACCAAAATCCACCTAATTGTAGAAAACAACACATTGAGGGAGAAATAAATATGACACCATGAATTTATCAAAGGAATGGTTGGAGAAATACGTCAAAGTGATCGGAAGGGATGAGCTCAGGAAAACGTTTTTCCTGTACCACACTAGGAGATTGTTGGAAATAAATCTTAGCGAATCGCTAGCGCTCTCAACGGGATGATGTACTGGTAGTAATGCTCTGAGGGTAAGAGTAAACACAGTAGAATCAGTAATTCACAGCAGTTCATATTCCAAAATAATCTTGAAAATCTGGCCTTGTATTGCACATGCATACATGTACCAGCAACTTAAATCGTGTAGCAGTAACTTAAATCATGTATTTTTAAGACTCATAGTTTATGTTGAGACTTATGGCTGCAAGTTTCTAAACAAGTCAGCTTATAAATCATACATGTTATTGTATCATACCTTGCCAATATCGGCATTGCAGAAGATGTCTTCTCCTGGGTGCAGAGTGGCAATGCTTTCATTCTGCAATGCATACTGTGGTAACAATCATAAATTCATAAAACAACCAAGAAAATTCCAATGGATTCTTTGCAACTACCCGCTCAATGGTAACAGAAGGAGAGCTAGGGACTCGTAAACGCATTGAACACAGCACCTGACACTCATGCAAACACTTACAGGTTTAAAGGGAGGGTAGATCATTTGTCATTTATAGTGCATTTCTTTTTGAAGCAACAAAAGTCAAAATTTAAAGATGCATGCTTCACAACTAACCTGATGATGAAGTTTAAGGTCTGTGAATGCTGTTTATTCCGAGAAAACAACATTCTAGGATCTCTGCTTCAATTAAAATTTCATATTATCATTATTAGCCTATATTTCAATTCATATTTTGAATTGCGCCTGAAATCAGCATCCAGAACACGTCCTCATTCAGCTGATGGCAGCTACCGTACATGATATCACGCACTGAACTGACAGAAAATAGCAAACGCATGCCTCGTGCTAATGCTTGCATGCACCAATTCATGGATTTGCCACATTACAAACCAACTACCAATGGACATTTAAAAAAAAAATTGTCACTCCACGCATCTTTGGAAATTAATGGCCTTCTTTTGTTTTCTTCGAAATGACAGCATGCCAGAAAGAATAATTTCACAGTGAGTTCAGTGCTATCTTTAACCCTCCTGCTATTTAAACAGTCACAGACAGTCAAAATTCACTTCCACTTCCCCAGCTTTACCATATTTTTAACAAAAGCTAGTCACCAGAAGTCAAATCATATGTCAAACAGCACTGTAATTATTGGGGGCAACAGACAAAGCAGGCAAGTTGTGGTCACAGCTGTTTTATCACTCACCCAGAGTCAAAGTATACCGGTAGCTGTATCAATTTACTTTAAACAGTCCCATCCAGTCAATCCTGCTTTATGTAAGGCTGAGAATTCTTAACTGTTGAAAACAGTCACTTACTTTGAATTTGACTGAAAGGACTACTTGGCACAGAATGTATGTTTGCATAGGAGGGTTAAACCAAGTAAGCTTTTCAACCAAAATTTCATCAGTTACTTTTTGAATATCTGCAAATGATCCACCTCTACTCTACCTTTAAGCAGTTCAGATTAGTTTTGTGTACATGCAAAATACACACCCAAACCTGGGTGTGTACACAGTGTGTCCCTTTAATTGGGGCTCTCAAAGGTGGTCACAAAGCACCATCTATTGCTAATACATGCAGTCCAACACACTTAGTAAGTTACATAGCAACTACCTGTTAATGCTTAAAGCTCAGTGAGTCACTTCAGTGACTACTGCTAAAGCACCCTCAATGCATGTTTTCTTTTCAACAATAATATTTCAGGCGGAATTATAGGTACCGTATTCAGTACCAGTCCTATCTTAATTTTGTGCAAGGTTTTCTCATAAAATTAATGATATGTTTTTAATATAAATATTTTAATAAGAAAATAATAACATGGTTTTTACTTACTTGTTGCAATGTCTTTTCATGTTCTGGTAACAATGGAACATTTTCTAAATTTCTTGATTCCAGTGCTGTTGATTCACCACCAAATTCTCTGCCCTGTCCTTGATTTGGTTTGAAGTCTCTGTCTTCTTCTTCTCGTTCATCATCTTCTGCCATTTTGGTTATTCCACCTTCAACAATGCCATGACGCAGTGATTCATGAAGATTAGTGAGCTGTGTATCTTTATGGTCCTAGTAATAATATAAAAAAACACACTTTAATTCCAGTTGAACAATTTGTTCATTCTGATGTGCAACTTCACTAAACAGTATATATCCATTAAATAAAAGATACCTTTTTGAGACTTTAATCACGAAACTCGTATCAGGAGCTTGCGACACCATCAATGTGTCTTTGCCAACTGGTGTTGATGAGGCCCTCACGTGACCCATCACGTGACCAAGCTTGGTCGCACAACAGGAGGCGGTCGTACACGTGGGCCAGCTCGTACCCTCCATCTCTATTCATATGGGGGTGGTGTCTGCGGATTTCCACGGCCTCGCTGATTTTGCGTTTCCAGAGGTCGTCCTCCCTGGCGATGATCTTGACATTGTCCACGGAGATGCCATGTCCTGGGGTGGATATATGTTCACCAACTGCTGTCAGGTGGGCTGACCTACTGGTGTGTTCTCTGTATCGGGTCTGCAGAGTGCGAGCTGTTTCCCCGGTATATGTGTCTTCACAACCATCACACGACATCTGGTATACGAGGCCACATTTCTTGAGGTCTGGGGTCTTATCTTTCAGGCTGATCAACTGGGAGCGAAGAGTGTTAAACGGTTTGTGTGCTACCGTGACACCGTGTTCACGAAACATACACTCCAGCTGTCAGACAAACCTCGGATGTATGGCAAAATGGCCATAGGCTGTTGCTTCGCATTGGTGATCGCCTTGGAGGCAGCTCCAGTTGTTTGTTTCCTTTTAGGGATCTTGAACGCCCATGGTTGGTACCCGTTGGCAGTGAGAGCGTTTTTTGACGTGGTGAAGTTCAGTCTCGCGGTCCTCCTCTTCTGTGATGACTTGGTCAATCCGATGGCAAAGAGTGCGAGCCACGGACCTCTTGTGTGCTAGATGGTGATTGGACCCAAAATTCAAATAATGATCGGTGTGAGTCGGCTTCCTGTAGATGGTTACTTTGGTGGATCCATCACTTTTGATGTGAACGCAGGTGTCTAGGAATGGAAGTTTGGAATCTGTCTCTGGTTCCATAGTAAACCTGATGTTGGAATCGAAGCTGTTGATGTGTTGAGTGAAATTTTGAATGGCTAACTCCTGTATCTCCACAAAGGTATCGTCCACATAGCGGTTCCATCGGTTTGGAGGGGTAGGAGCAGTAGACAATGCTCTACATTCAAAATCCTCCATGTAAAGGTTGGCAACCAGTAAGGATACAGGGGAACCCATTGCAGTCCCATGAGTTTGTACGACCGCCTCCTGTCGTGCGACCAAGCTTGGTTACATGACGGGTCACGTGAGGGCCTCAACAACACCAGTTGACAAAAACACCGTGATGGTGTCGCAAGCTCCTGATACGAGTTTCGTGATTAAAGTCTCAAAAAGGTATCTTTTATTTAATTGATATAATAATGGGACAGGAAACGAACTTTCATGCTCGAGTATATATCCAGCACAGATGAGGGTTAGCACAATGTTGGGCATGAAATCCTATAAAAAAATGTCACGGACAAAGATTCTAGTTCTACTTAAGAAAAAGGTTTGTAAGGCTCCAAAGTGCATGGAGTGGGGTTCGGTACTAATGCATGATGGCGGAACACAAGCATGATAATCCAAAGGGATACATAGATCTGCAGAGCATTAATTGAGGATTATGACAGAGAATATGGATATAAATGTAACAGCACCTACATGTACATGTGGGTCTTTCCGAGATATCATATACAAAGCGGTTTGGCAACACTGCATGAGGAAATTTGAGAGAAACTTTGAAGTGCAACACATTGAGGGACTCTACTATATGCACATATACTATATGCATGTATAAAGTCTACGTCCTCCTGGCGGGGACGTAGACTTTATATAGTGGAATCCTAATTCCAGTCATCAAAAGTAGTCATTGCCAGTACAATGTACAGTTTAAGTATTTTTAACATCCAGTTATATGATGAGTCACGTACAAATACAATCCATAGCAAGAAGTCTGCTAATTCACCAAACAAGTCTCGCTGGTAACGGACTTTCTGTCTCCGTGCGATAACAGACCCCCCCCCCCCAACACAACAGTGATTCGGTCCCGGGGATTCCCCCTGTGAGAAATGATGGAGAACTCGCTCTCAAATTCTCAATGACATTTATTTTAGTATAAAAAGTACCCTCCATAGTATACCAGTTTGTAGAGAAACTGATTCTGCAAAATCACGGCAAAACTTTAGAAGTACACCTATAACAAAAACCACGCTTGTAATTCTAAAGACATACATCGATCCTTGAGGCACATGATTATAGAGAAGCTAACAATTGCGAGCAAAGTGGAATTTTCTGGATGTCCTGGGTGTCCCAGAGCTCTTGAGTGTGCCCAAAGAGGTGCACGTATACTTTGAACTATTGGAGGTTTAATCAAATTAAGTCAGGCATACATTTTGTCATAAAATAATCATACCTTTTAGCCATTAACTTTTGGAATTTCATTTTGCAGTGGTTACTTGATTGAATTAAATTTAAAAAGAAATTGTGTGGTAAATCTGCACCTCATGGTATAAAGGTCTACTGGAAAATGTATTCTCAGCTGTGCAATGGGGTCTTGGATTGACTTTAAAATGTGACAGCTCTTTCAAAAACGAAAGCTGTTGCACATCTATACATAGACAAATGCTCATGCACATGTTTGTTCAACAAAGGCTCCCGGGTGTTGGCTCCCACACCGCCAGATCCACTGCGGGAAATTGTGGAATCGGTTGTGGGCAGGGTTGTGACTTTCAGGTCATAGTTTTCTCCTGCGGAGTAAAAAATGCAGGTCGCTGACATAACAAATTTCCAATTCACTTCGGCAGAGTTCAGATGCAGTCCGTATACCGGTACCTTAACAACAACACAGCCCACTGGCATTCCCTTGGGAATTCACCTGGAAATACATAATTTAACGAGTCTATTTTAAACAGTGATAAGAAGTATCCGCTCACTCTTTAAAATTCACTATTGTCTTAGCGTAAAGAGGCCAAATTATTCCCATTATCCATGGAGTAAATTTCATTCGTTGGATGGGAAAAAAACTTTCAACTTGCGCTTTCCTAGGCATGGTGGTTGCCTAGTTTATTGTACCACAGGTAAAATACACATATTGCACACAGACTAGACGTGCAGGTTGCCCAAGTAGTATTAAATACAAGTATGTTTATTTAGTTGTCGCGATTGGTAACCGACACTCAAGGCGTGTATTTAAGACAAGATGAATCTTCCACCCATTTGCACGACCCACTGACTTGTATACTTTTAGTCAATACACTGGTCCCCATGCATATGGTGCTCTGATAGACGTACATGCATACACAATACACGGTACATTAGTAGGGGGAGGGGCGGGTACCAGACTTTACCCTTCCAATATATCTCCCTCTCTCCCAATATATCTTTCCTCTCTCCCAATATATCTCCTCTCCCAATATATCTCTCTCCCAATATGTATCTCCTCTCTCTGTCTCGGCCCCAGACCAAAACCGGGCCCAATAGACCATTCAATTATGCGCGTTTTCGGCAGCACTGTATGTTTGTCACAAGGTGGCGCTCTTCAAATCCGCCATTGCTGGGACGCATTTTTGTCAAATTTTGTGCACAGATGCATTGGCGAAAGTAAATTTTTGAGGTATTTCCGTTTATAATTAAGCTCATTTCCAGATTTCAAGTAAACCAAATTAAAGGCAAAGAGGAAATGAGTTTGGGAAATTCAGGAACAGTTTGTGCGGTGGTGGGCTGTAAAAATAGCAGCAAAAAGCTGTCTGAGTGGAAAACGTCGGTGTGCGATCTGCACTCTCCAAAATCTCATCGTGAATGTTCCTGTGTGCAACCATGGCAGCTACACAGATTTCCCGCCGGCAGTGACTGTGAGTTGTGGTCCTTCAGCAGCCGTAATAATTGGATTAAAAACAGCCAACTAAAAATAGCATGGCGAGTATGCACACCTTTTAAAATTACCTGATAAACTGACAAGTCAAGTGTAGTTTAACTTTATTACTTATTAGGCCTTATTAATAAAAGACTAGCCAGACAGTGCTCTGGAGTGCTCAGAAACGTGCAAAAACTAAATGAGGCCAACTTTACTCACAGTTTTGCCAGCAAATTTCTCCAAAAATTCCACTGGGGCAAAGAAAATGTCCTCAGTCATTGTCAGTATTTCACCAACCAAGTTTGCAGACTCAATTCAATTTTTAAAGGAGACTTTTCTTCAATATTTTGCACATGAGAGGGAAGTCAAGTGATTTCAAAATTGGGCTAAAGACTAAACTGATACAAGTCCAACCATGGTCCAACTATTTGAAAAGACTAACCTCTTCATTCAGTGTCAATAGTCTGGTGGCTTGACTATGGAGAAATGTGTAGTAAATTGAGACTAGTTCCTGCTTCATGCCACATGTCTCTTAAATTCTTTTTGCATGGTTGATTGATGCAGTACTGAAGCTGTGTTGGACTGATTGTTTTAGGTGCCAGTCTATTTTCTTGTTTTGCATGTTTTCAATACCTAAAGTTTTGGGACTCTCATCAGTACACAGTATTGAAAGTCCCAAATTTTCGGACTAAAGACTATCATGCCTATGCATTGCCAGGTAACGGTAGGTGATGTAGGCTTAATGCCCTGATGGTAATTCTAATCTTAGCCCCAAAAATGTGGCCAATTTAGTATTTACTGGACTACCTCCGTAAAGATAGGCCACACTTGGAAGTTGGAACATGTACCTGAAAATGTAGAACTTTGTCAAGTTTTTGTCATGTTTGTTTTCACATTTAGACTTAAGGCCCTATTGTTTTGTAGCCTATTGATCAGGACATGTTACTTGTTCTATGGTGTATGTCACTGCAGAAAACAATTAACGATGTCTGTGTATGGAATTAATCCAAACTACGTGTATGTGATCTTTAGCCCCTATCACCTGTGGAAAAAGTATTGATTTTTTTTTCAATCTGACAATCTGCATAATGTCTTGTAAGTCGATTTCCAGTTTGGAAGTGTGCTTACACATGT